ATAAATGTTTATTATTCATGCTAGAATTGTATTAACCGGAAACTTAGTACATGTGTGAATACATAGACAAATAGAATGTCCCTAGTATGCCTCTACTAGACATGCTCGTTAATCATAGATGGTTAAGTTTCCTAGCCATAGACATGTGTTGTCATTTGATGAACGGGATCACATCATTAAAGAATGATGTGATGGACTAGACCCATCCGTTAGCTTATCACTATGATCGTTTAGTTTATTGCTATTGCTTTCTCCATAACTTATACATGTTCCTATGACTATGAGATTATGCAACTCTCGAATACCGGAGAAACACTTAGTGTGCTATCAAACGTCACAACGTAACTGAGTGATTATAAAGATGCTCTACAGGTGTATCCGATGGTGTTTGTTGAGTTGGCATAGATCCAGATTAGGATTTGTCACTCCGATTGTCGGAGAGGTATCTCTGGGCCCTCTCGGTAATGCACATCACTATGAGCCTTGCAAGCAATGTGACTAATGATATAGTTACGGGATGATGCATTACGGAACGAGTAAAGAGACTTGCCCGTAACGAGATTGAACTAGGTATGATGATACCGACGATCGAATCTCGGGCAAGTAACATACCAATGACAAGGGGAACAACGTATGTTCTTATGCGGTTTGACCGATAAAGATCTTCGTAGAATTTGTAGGAACCAATATGAGCATCCAGGTTGTGCTATTGGTTATTGACCGGAGATGAGTCTCGGTCATGTCTACATAGTTCTCGAACCCGTAGGGTCCACACGCTTAACGTTGATGACGATATGTATTGTGAGTTATGTGATTTGATGTACCGAAGGTTGTTAGGATTCCCGGATGTGATCACGGACATGACGAGGAGTCTCGAAATGGTCGAGACATAAAGATTGATATATTGGAAGGTTATGTTTGGACACCAGAAAGGTTTCAGATAAGTTTGGGCATTTTTCGGAGTACCGGGGGTTACCGGAACCCCCGGGGGTTAATGGGCCTTCATGAGCTTTAGTGAAAGAGAGGAAGAAGCGGCCAAGAGGAGGGGGGCCGGCCCCCTTTCCTTCCCCTCCTAGTTGGACTAGGAAAGGGGGGAGCCTACTCCTAGTAGGAGTAGGATTCCCCCCCTTCGGGCGCGCCCTATGAGGCCGGCCAGCCCCCTCCTCCACTTCTTTATATACGGGGGAGGGGGGCACCCCATAGACACACAAGTTGATTTTTTAGTTGGGTGCGGTGCCCCCCTCCACAAATTTCCACCTCGGTCATATTGTCCTAGAGCTTAGGCGAAGCCCTGCGTCGGTAACTTCATCATCACCGTCAACACGCCGTCGTGTTGATGAGACCCACCCTCGGCCTCAGCTAGATCTAAAGTTCGAGGAACGTCACCGAGCTGAACGTGTGCAGATCGCGGAGGTCCGGTGCGTTCGGTACATGATCGGTTGGATCACGAAGATGTTCGGCTACATCAACCGCGTTACTCAACGATTCCGCTTTCGGTCTACGAGGGTACGTAGACACACTCTCCCCTCTCGTTGCTATGCTTCTCCTAGATAGATTTTGCATGATTGTAGGCAAAATTTTGAAATACTACGTTCCCCAACACGCGAGGGGCGGCGTACTTCCTCGGTGGCATGGTGGCCGATGGAGGGGAGAGGGAGGAAAATGGCGGGAGAAGGCAGGAGAAGGGGGAGATGGAGGGAACGGAGGGGGAAAATCGCGCGGGGGGGGGGGAGGAGGGGAGGCGGGAAAAGGTCTTTCTCTCGCCGACAGAGCAGACCCACACGTCTTTTCCCTTCGGCCGGCGCCCCCAGGAGGCTTGGGTTCGGCTCGGGTTCGCCGGCTGTTATTTCGGCCCAAACCGGCGATAAACGAGATCCTGAGGGCGCGATTGGGCCAATTTTTGGACGCCGGCGCTAAAAAATGGCCTTGGGAGGCTTGTTGGGGGCGTGGCTGGAGATGCTCTAACATCATCCCATTCGCATACACTTACTGATTTTTTTTCTCGAAGCAGTGGCAAAAAAAGGAAAAGAATTGTCCAGTTAATTTACGAAAAACCAGGCAAAAACTAATACAAACAGAACATAGACTAACTAGTGATATGGCAAGAAACCCCATAACCGCACATGTGACCCTGTCAGACTCTCCGAATGCACAACATCCACACAAACCCCAACATTGCTATTACGTAAGAGATACCTGACAAAAACACCTCGACACAAGACATCAGACACCTCCCAACCCACAACGACAACCCAATCCAAAAGGACGGGTCAAGAGATCGAAGGTCAGAGACACCTTGCCTATGGCGCCTAGTAGCATGGTAAACTCAGAAATTTTAGTCTCCAAACATCCAATTACACTGTTCAGCATGTTTATCTATCAGTACCAAATACTAATAACGATGCATTCTTTCATTGCTTGCACTGGAACGAAGCTGAAGTCACTTGTGGATCACCTGATGATCGTCAGGAGCACCCTCATCTTCAATGAACTGGAAATTTGAAGGTGTCAAGCACATAGTGCCCAAGATACTTAGGTAGTAGGTACATGCCCTCCACGAGCCCCTTGAGCTGGAGGATTATTCCACGGTTTATGAACTGCCTTCCTCCGCCTCCTCGACGATGTTGTGGATCCTTAGCAAGATACACCTCGGCCGCTAGATGTCATCTCTTTCCGTCGTCGCACTCGCACGTTGTTCCCCATATTTCTGGCTCAAGGAGATGAAACGGCTGACAAGATCATCTCCACTGTGAGCCTTCAGCGGGAAGCATGAAAATCCACTCAAACAGTTTTGAAAGTGATATAGGAGTAGGTGGCTGAAAGTTAAGTAAACAAAGGAAGCAACGAGCGATGATGGAAGTTGTGGAAGCAACTAGCGGCGACCACTTTGGGCACATCGAAACGGTCAGAGTCATAAGCGTGAAGTAGTTCCATATCATAGTTAATGCTAGTTTAGCCTAAAGTCCGGTCCACCTCAAGGTACAAAACAACATTTTAGGCCACTCCCCTACTACCTCTGTCCCAAAATATAGACGTTATTTAAGGCTAGTTTAGCCTAAAAAACGTCTTATATTTTTTGACGGAGGTAGTACATAAGTAAAAGTCATCTGACAGAGAACATACTTAGCAGTCCACCAGCTCAATTAGGCCTGAATTACGCCCGCAGAGCAAACAACAAAAATCAAATCATTATGAGCCTCAAGCACAAGAAACACAGAACTCAATCTGCACAATCCAGATAATCATGTGCTTCCACCTGGGATGATTAAGCTCAAAACAACCCAAGACATGCGGTTTGTAAAGATGCTTTTCAAATAAATTATACTCCTACCTATGATAAAGAAAAGTTGATGAAATCGACAGTACACCCTCTGTTCACTAATGTAGGACGTTTTGGCAGTTCAAACTGAACTGCCAAAACGTCCTACATTAGCACATCTACACTCAGCAAGCCCAGCTTGGACCATTTGGTGTTCTATCTCTTGGAAGGATAATAGGATGGCAACAATCAAACTCACCAAGAACAATACAAATTAATCAAGTCAATGGAGTTGTTGTCGCTGTTGAGTCAGCGCCAAAAATAGTGGTAAAAATCAAACCTTTATACTATCTCAACTTGGTCTTCAGTAACACTAACACTTCGAACATTGAATTGTTGAAAATAAATCACTTTGACCATTGCCATCTTCTTGATTTATATAAAGAGCACCAGATCTAATAAATCAGCATAAACGTTCCTGCATAGAATAAGATAGTAGAGAACTGAAATGGCTTAATCTGTGAAATTAATTCAAAATAATTTTCTCAACAGAAGGGAAACTTCGAACTGTTCCATCATCGCATATCCATAACCGTAACATTATTTTGAGGACATTCAAGCAAGACATCCCACAGTTCAAATAGAGTACCAAAAGAAGCTTTAGCAAAATGATGCACGATTTCCAAAAGTATTTCAACATCAAGCATAGGCCAAATAGTTGAATATATGCCAGATGTGTACGTAAATAACTGAACTCAACATTGACCTCTGTAGCTAGAGAACATGTCATCAATAACACAGCAGCGAGATTGCAGTTTAGTTCAATTAGCTGTAAGCCTGTAACCATTTCATCCCATTAATGCAGAAGCCAATGTAAAGCTAGCTGAGCATTGCTGAACTGATAATTCTTGGGTGGTTCTTTTACCGAGGAGGTTATCATCATGTAGAACAGAAGAGGTTAAGACCGCAGCAAGAAATCTGACTTACCTCATTTAGCTGAGACATGCTGATCTCGCGATAAGTTCAACATACATCTGGGATGTTTAGATGATTTTGTTAGAATAGCAACTTGTATTACTAGGAGGCCAAAGCCAACATATATACATGTACAAGAGGATGCCAAAAGGCTACAATGCAAAAGACCAAAAATCATCATCAATATAACTCTTGACAGATTTAACAGGTTGTCCTTCCAAGGGATTTATCGATCAACAGCAAAGCAGGTTCTTACCATCCATATCTGAACTTGTGCCTATCCTGAGTACCCCTACATCTTTGAATCAATATCTGAATGAAAGCGAGTATGAATGTAGTTTGAAAACATGTTCAGCATCTGATCTGTTTTTACCACTCCACGAACTCACATACCAGAATTCTCACCTTAAAAAGGACTTGCAGAGCAGTAGTGGAACCAAATTATTTGGTTGCAGATTTATCTAAAAAGAATCATACAGCTCTTGCATCATTATACCTTAGTCACTAACAATAAAGGGAAACTCATGTAATAATTCCAATTTTATTTCTTGACACATGTACAATAGCACAATTCTTGCTGCTCAATTTACATGCCAGGCAGCAAGAGGAGCTTTTTCACGACAGGTTCACAGTTAACAAGAGATACATACACACATTCCCACCAGGGTATTATACACAAGGAAAGCACTTTCCTTGTTGAACATGCAGTATAAGATTCTTAAATTCCAGCTTCGATGAGTTTCATCTGAAGAAGATTTACCATACTTCAGAATGATCCTTCACAAGGCAATGGGCCAACCTTCATGCCTTTGGTCCGTGCAATCGCCTTCAGTTCCTCCGACACAGAGCTCACCTCGATGACCAAATGATTCAAACGGGTGGCTCGCTGTGCAAAGAGTTCGACACTGGCCACTTTAATGGCAGGGCAGCGGGAGATGTCCACGACCTCCACTGTCTGCCCACAGTGCCTAAGCAACGAGACCAGCGATTCTCCGGTAATGCCGCGGCAACCCCTAAACCTGATATCAATCAGATTCCGGCAAGACGATAGCATGGCTCCAATCTCCTTGTCCTTCAGGGTCTCGTTGTAAGACAGATCAAGCCGGCGGAGGTGGCGCATGCTCTGGCTGAGGAACGTGAGCAGCCCAGGCTCCCGTTCAACTACGTCGCAGCTCACCAGGGCGACATCTTTGATGCCCGCCCCAATGGCCGTGCGCGCGAGAGAACGAAGCCCGTCCCCCGTGACGAGGACACAGCTTTGAAGGCGAAGCACGGCAAGACTGCCCCGGGTGTCGTAGCCTTGCTCTGCGCCGATTGCAAGGAGGTGGTCGTTGTGCAGGTCGAGAGGCAGGCGGAGGTCCAAGGTGTGCAGTGCGGCGCCGCGCCGACGGATGAACTGGAGGAGGGCCTCCCTGCTGCCGCCGTCATACACAAGTAGAGACTTGAGAGCACAGCACCGGTCAGCGGCGATGAGGAGGACGCGGTCGGCGACGGTTCGGCAAGCGCGGAGCTCAAGCTCGAGCAGGCCGGCGAGGCATCCTGAGAAGGCAGCCGACGAGGGGCCATCTCCGATGCCGTCGCAAGCGCGCAGCTGCAGCCACTGTAGGCTCCCACAGCGCTGCCATAGCCACCTGAGCCCGTGGTCGCCGGAGCGGATACCGCACAGCGACAGCCTCTCCAGAGGCAACGCCCCTACGGCGTCGCCCTCGCCGCCGGAGTCTTCATCGGAGCTGGAACCGGCCGAGTCAACGGCAGCAACGGCGGAGTTGACAAAGGCGAAGGATTTTAGGCAGGGCAAGCACGCGAGCCAACGGAACGACAGGGGGCTGACGGCGGTGAGGTGGAGCGAGGTGAGGCCGGAGAGGGTGACGGAGACCTCCCGCAGCGCAGCGGGCGAGACGGGCGAACCGACCGAGAACCGCAGCGCTGTGAGCCTGGTGGCCGACGGCGAGGCGGACACCGCGAGCAGGACCGCGTCGGCGTCGTGAGCGGCGGCTGATGAAGCGGAGACGACGGCCAGCGCGGATAGATACGGGTAGCGCGAGAGCAGGTCAGCCAGAGGACCCGCAGCCGCGGGGGCCGATGCTCCGGTGAAGGCCGGCGGCAGGCGGAGGGTGAGGCGGGACGTGGAGGCTCGGAGGAGCGCGACCCAGCGGCGGGAGACGAGGGAGACGGCCGGGCCCGCGGCGGGCGGGAGCAGGCGGAACACCTCCTGCAGCAGGTCGTCGCAGAGCGCGGCGTCCACGTCGCCGCATGCCCCGCCACCGCTGCCGGCGCGGCGGCCTCCGCCGCCGCGTCGGGGGCTTATTGGCGCCGTAGCCAGGGGGGAGACCGCGGCCACGCCTCAGCTCATCGGCACGGCGTGCCTAGGTAATTTTTCCCTCCAGGGGAATTGGGCTCCTCGGCGGCCTCAGGTGGGAAGGGGGTTGGGGAAGGTGGGGAGGGGGGTAGCTCTTGTGTGGCCGCCCGCGAGATTAGGTGGGGAAGGAGGGAGATGCCGACAAGCGAGGTGGGGGTATCGTATCGTATCAACGTCGGCGGCGTGGGCGTGCCTTCCAAAATGGTTGTGGAGGCGGCTCCGATGGATAAATCACGGGATTCAAGGCTCCATGAATGCTTTCTTCTCAGCGTTTTTTTTCTTCTTTTTCATGAAACACTTTTTTTCCGGTAATTTTACATGAAACACTTGTGTTCCCTTTACGATACAGCAGAATCGCGGCTTACATATCATGGGTTACATCAACAGGATAGTCATCACCTCTCAAAAGAGAAAACAGGTAGTCATCATATCAAACTCGACAAAGAAACATGATCTAACCCTGCATCCAACGCCGTCAGCACACGCTGGCTTGTTACAATCTCAAGAAACATGAGAAATCTCAGCTAGAATGAACTACGTGTGCATTTTAAACTTGATTTCTGAACAGATGACTAAGTCGGCTGAGGTCAAAGGAGCTAGACCTAGGCCCTGTTTGGTTCAGCTTCTATCGACGGATTCCGCTGCCGCGCAGCAGAATCTGAATCAAAGGACGAACCTAACAGAATCCGATTCTAGAAATTCGCTGTCAAAATCTGAACCAAAAGCGAAAGCAGCCCAAGACGTGCTTTACAAAATCTGATTCCGCTGCGGGCCAAAATCTGAAAAAGTTGTATTAGCTGGTTTGCCAAATGACCTACATCTTTTTCACATCAGATTTTTCACAGCTGTTTTTCCACAACAGATTTTTCACAGCTGCTTTTAGAAATCCACGGCCGAACCAAACAGGGCCCTAATGGCCTGCTTGAGCGTGAGGCTGTCTGTTTCAAAGTGTGCCTTACCAATTCCTAGTTGATCTGCCAAGTTTACAGCTTATAGTAGGGCCAGAGTTTCGGCATGCAGCGCGCTCGTCGTATGATCCACTGACCCGATGTGTCAAGCTAAATACCTGAAGAAGTGTTCCTACAGATAATCCCCATCCTCTGTGCCCGGTCCTCGTATTGAAAGCGCCATCCACGTTGACCTTTGTTATGTCTTTGGGCGATGGAACCCACTTGCATTTATCCCTGGCTAGCTTCACTCCCTTTGAGCTCAAGAAATTCTCCCGTTGTTGACATGGTGCCTAACAGAGAACTGAAACTCTTCAACACTTTGCCCCCTCTCTCTGTGATTACGACGGTTTCGGTCTGTCCACCAAAGCCAGAGCAAGGCGATGATTGGGAGTTTCTTATCATCTCGGAATTTCACGATTGCCTGAACAACTTCTTTCGCCGAATTGAGCATAGAGAGTTGGCTCCGCTCCTCCTCAAGAAGCAACGCCCTCCATCTTTGTATGGCGAGCTTGCAATTGAAAAAAAGTGGCCATCATCCTCGAACAAATGTTCGCAGACTGCACATCTCGTGTCTAGCTGAACACGTCGTCTGTTGATGTTCATGTACATTGGGTGGCTATTCTGAGCAAGCCTCCAAGTGAAGTCGTGCACTCTAGGGGGCAGTCAACCTTCCAGATTGATCCGAAAAGTTCAGAAGCTTTCCCATTAGGTTCAGACCCCTCCCCTATCTGCTTTATGGCTTCATTTTTATCATATTGATGTGTACCTTGCACTTAGATTTCACTGAGAAAACCCCTTTGATGTCATAGTTCCAAGACAAAAAAATCCTCCGTCTGCTCACATATTGGAATACTCAAAATGACCTGCACATCATCCGACTGAAAATAGTTTCTCACCAGTTCATCATCCCATCTCCCGGTACTATGGTCGATCAGCTCTGACGGGCCAGGATGCTCTCCCTTGATGAGACGATGGCCTGCGGGTGTCGCCACGAGGGATCCATGGGTCATCCCATATTCTCACCTTTGAGTCATCCCCAATCCTCCATATTAAGCCATCTTTCAAGACTTCCAACCCCTTCAAAATGCTTCTCCATACATAGCTCATACCACTCTTCGGTTCATCTTGAAGCACATCACCATCGGGGAAGTATTTTTCCCAAAGTACTTGCGCACACAGGGACTCGGGGTTTTGATCGCCATCCTTGATTTGCTAACATTGCCACATTTAAAGACTGTAAATCACGGAATCCCAGCCCTCCTTCCTTAATTGAAAGCTTCTTTTTTGCATCCTATCCAATGCATTTTGTTTTCGTTTCTCTCTTGGTTCCACTAATAATGACAAATGAGTTGACTGGTCTCACACACAGGGTTTTGGTAAGGTTAAAGCAGGCCATGGCATACATTGGGATCGCCTGAGCAACAACATTGACATGGTTTTCCTTGCCCGCCATGGGAAGACACCGATTGAGCCCCCCTTGGAGCCACCCAACTATTAGGTCCCTTATATATGCGAAGCATTCTTTCTTTGGCTTTCCAACATAAGATGGCTGCCCCGGGTACTTTCCATATTTTGCCTCTGATGCAAGCTGGAGTTCCTGTAGGATCAGCTTTTTGAAACTTTGGCTTGCATTGGCACTAAACATAACTGAAGACTTCTCTCGATTTATCAGTTGACCCGAGCTCTCCTCATAAGTCCGAAGGATGGCATTGATGGATTGTACACTTTGCACACGAGCTTCAACAACCAGCAACGAGTCGTCTGCAAACAAGAGGTGATTTACACATGGGGCAGTAGGAGCTAGCTTGATCCCTCTGATTTGATTTTCTTCATCCGCCTTATTGAGCATAACTGAAAAACCTTATGCACATAAGAGGAAAAGGTAAGGATAAATGGGTCCGCCTTGCCTCAACTCTCTCACAGGGATAACCACATCATATATCTTGCCATTTACATTGAACTGATAAGAGACGGTGGATATGAAGGAAATATGCCCTAGAGGCAATAATAAAATTATTATTTATTTCCTTATATCATGATAAATGTTTATTATTCATGCTAGAATTGTATTAACCGGAAACTTAGTACATGTGTGAATACATAGACAAACAGAGTGTCCCTAGTATGTCTCTACTTGACTAGCTCGTTAATCAAAGATGGTTAAGTTTCCTAGCCATGGACATGTGTTGTCATTTGATGAACGGGGTCACATCATTAGAGAATGATGTGATGGACTAGACCCATCCGTTAGCTTAGCACTATGGTCGGTTAGTTTATTGCTATTGCTTTCTCCACAACTTATACATGTTCCTATGACTATAAGATTATGCAACTCTCGAATGCCGGAGAAACACTTAGTGTGCTATTGATACGGCTCCAATGTATCTATAATTTATGAAGTATTCATGCCATGTTTACAATAGTTTTATATGATTTTGGTATGATTTGATTAGAACTAACCCGGACTGACGCTGTTTTCAGCAGAACTACCGTGGTGTTGTTTTTGTGCAGAAATAAAAGTTCTCAGAATGCGTTGAAAATCAACAGAGAATTTTTCTGGAAAATATGAAAAATACTGGAACAAAAATCTACCGGAGGGGAGTCCCGTGGGCCCCATAAGGGTGCGGGGCACGCCCATCCCGCCTGGGCGCACCCCTGTGCCTCGTGGACTTCCCGTGGGGCCCCCTGACTTATTCTCGATGCCAACCTCTCCTAAATACCCAAACCTGTAGAAATTAACCTAGATTAGAAGTTTCGCCGGCGCAAGCCTCTGTAGCCACGAGAAATCAATCTAGGCCCTCTCTGGCACCCTGCCGGAGGGGGCCATCATCACCGGAGGCTATGGAGGAGGATCCCGGAGGGGCCATCATCACCATGAAGGCCAAGGACCAGAGGGAGAACCTCCCCATCCAGGGGGAGGCCATGGAGGAGGAAGCACAAGGGGGAGAACCTCTCCTCCTCTCCCTTGGTGGCACCGGAGTGCCATCGAGAGGGGAATCATCGCCGCGGTGATCGTCTTCATCAACATCACCATCATCATCATCACCCTCATCTCTTTTACGTGGTCCACTCTCCCGCACCCCGCTGTAATCCCTACTTGAACATGGTGCTTTATGCCACATATTATGATCCAATGATGCGTTGCCATCCTATGATGTTTTGAGTAGATATCCTTTGTCTTTGGGTTGATTGATGATCTAGATTGGTATGAGTTGTATGTTTTATTTTGGTGTTGTCCTATTGTGCCCTCCATGTCACGCAAGCATGAGGGATTCCCGTTGTAGGGTGTTGCAATACGTTCATAATTCGCTTATAGTGGGTTGCTTGAGTGACAGAAGCATAAACCTAAGTAAGGGGGTTGTTGCGTATGGGATAAAGGGGACTTGATGATTTAATGTTGTGGTTGGGTTTTACCTTAATGATCTTTAGTAGTTGCAGATGCTTGATAGAGTTCCAATCATAAGTGCATATGATCCAATAAGAGGAAGTATGTTAGCTTATGCCTCTCCCTCATATGAAATTGCAATGACGACTACCAGTCTTGTTAACAATTGCCTAAGACAATTCCGAACACCGACCCATCATTATTCCACACTCTCTATTTATAACATTTAGTAATATATTCTAAATTTATGATAACAACACCTACTTTCATATTTTATCTCTTCGATACCATGCAAAGTTATCCTCTTCATACCCACACCATAGTTTTATTTCTCGTTTCTAGTTGGAAGCAAACGTTCGGTGTAACGTAGAGTCATACCAGTGGCAGATAGGACTTGAGAGAATATTGATCTTACCTTTAGTTCCATGTGGGTTCGACACTCCATACTTATCACTTCCACCTTTGGGAATTGCTACAATGATTCCCTGCACTTGGGGATTATCAAGCTCTTTTCTGACGCCGTTGCCGAGGAGCAATAGAGTGGGGTTGATATTTTTGTGTATGCTTGTTTGCTTTCTTCACTAAGTAGTTTTTGTTTTCCCTTTTTAGTTTTGCTTAGTTGTATGTGAAACATACAAAAAATTAAAAAATGAAAATACAAAAAGATTCACTTGCCTCATATGCCTAAAGAGTTTTTCAAAAAGAGAAGTGACTGGAAAGTTATGCATTGAAGAAGTGAGGGTCGACCTTGAACACTTGTGTTCATGCTCATGGGAACAATGTAAAAAAATCATGGAAGCTTCGCTGAAAATAATTATCCCCTTGTATATATCCATTGTATTATAAAAATAATGTGCCAAGCCTTGGTTTTAGGATGATTAGATTTCTTATTTACTTTGTGCAGTACAAAAACAGAAACTTTGGCTGTACCGCGTGAATATACATTTTTTTACTAGAAAGTAAAATGGGCTGAAACTTTTTGCACATTACTTCTGTACAAATTTTTAAATTTTTCATATTTTTTTAGAATTTTTGGAGTTACAGAAGTATACTAAACTTCCAGATTACTACAGACTGTCCTGTTTTTGACAGATTCTGTTTTCTATGTGTTGATCGCTTATTTTGATGAATCTATGGGTAGTATCAGGGGGTATGAACCATGGTGAAGTTGGAATACAGTAGAATAGTTCTAATATGAAATTGGAATGAGTTTGCAACAATACCTAAAGGTAGTGGTTTGCTTTATTATACTAACGGGTCTCACAAAGTTTTGGTTTTGTGTGGATGAAGTGTTCGAAGAATGAGGAGCTACCGATGTGAGAAGAATAAAGAGAGCAAGAGCTCAATCTTGGGGATGCCAAGGCACCCCAAGTAAATATTCTAAGGATACTCAAGCATCTAAGCTTGGGGATGCCCCGGTTGGCATCCCATCTTTCTTCTTCAACAATTATCGGTATACCTCGATTTTTGTTTTATTCACATGATTCGTATCCTTTGTGTTTTTTGTTTTTCCTTTAAGAACCATGCTAGTATGATATAGCCCTTCATTGATTTATAGAATGCTTCATGTGCTTCATTTATATCTTTTAAGTATGATCTTATAGAATTGCTCTTTGTGCTTCACTTAAATCTTTTGAGTATGGTTTTATAGAATGCTTTGTGTGCTTCACTTATATATTTTGAGCTTGGATATTGGTTAGTCTATATTAATTGTAGAATGCTCCATGAACTTCACTTATATCTTTTGGAGTATGAATAATACTATCATCTAAAGTGGATTTAGAAGAAGTTTGCTCCCACTATTCCGAATGAGGATAATTTTGCTTATGTGGAGAGTAGTAAA